TCTTAACCATCGCGCCACTCGGCCGGCCCCTCTTGTCCATATTTTAATCATTCAAGTGGGAGAATGTTCTTCTGGGGGAGCACAGGGCTTTAGAAAGCCAGGATAATCCCATTAAGGGCGCTCAGGGGTGGATGGAGAGCAATGATCTGCACAGCCCAGTGTCCTCCACATGTGCTTTTCTCCATAAATAACGGAGTCCACAGTAAAGTAGGGGGCTCCCAATGATCTTTAATTATGCCCCTTCTTCAGCCCAATCCAAGGGAGAAGGTGCATGAGGTCATAAACTGTTCTGTAGCACGTCTGTTCCACAAAGCAGAAGACAGTATAACTCAGATTTTGAGGCTAAAAGCTGTCCAGTGGATCTTAACTCCAGAGAGGAAAATATCCAATTTTTTATTCGGGGATCAGAGAGAACCTAGCTTCTGCCTGCTAATGCAAAGCTGTGAGTGCTGGGAAGCAAGATTGAGTAGGTGGCGAGGCCAGGCCATGAAAAGCCTTAAATCACAGGCTGAGTGGTTTTAACTTCACCCTGGAGGATATTAGGAACCAGCAAAAGTTTCTGAGCAAGACGTGACATTCGCAAGTCCTGCTTTAGGAAGAGTAACTTGGCAGCAGAAAAGAGAGGGAAATTTCTCCCACTGAGCCTGGAAGCAAAATTAGGAGCCAGAGGATGATACAGTCATCAGGACATGAGGTGATGACACAGATGAAGCTGTTAGCAGTGGTCCAGACACTGGAAGGACAAGCAGAAGAGATGACCCAGGGCAGTCGCACAGTTCTCGGTGTTCGCTTAAATGGATAAATGAAAGGATGTTGTCAGAAGTGCCTGCAATCCAAGCTTAGGTAGCCCCAGTGTCAGAAATGGTGATAACTGAATGACATGCTATTGGGGACATGCTGAGTGTGAAGAGGCAAAGGGCAAGAAAAAGAGCATTCTGAGGAGGTACCAACAATGTACCTGTAGGTGTCATGTTATGCATTTCTTCTTTTTTCCTTTGTTTTTTTTCCCTTGTTCCCCCTTTTATTTTACTTTTCTTAAAAGTATATATTTCAAGTGAATGTGATGTTTTGATAAACATACATTGTGAAAAGATTACTGTAGTCAAGCTAATAATATATACGCATCACCTCACATAGTTACCCTTTATTGTATGTGGTGAGAACACTTAAGTTCCACTCTCTCAGCAAAGTTCAAGTATACATTACAGCATTATTAACTATGGTCACCATGCTGTACATCAGAGCTCTAGACTTATTCATCCTACAGAACTAAAACCGTGTACCCTTTAAACACCTCCCCATTTCCCCCATCTTCTTGACTCTGCGAACCATCATTCTACTCTGAATATTGACTTTTTTGGGTTCCACATATAAGTGAGATCAGATAGTATTTTTCTTGGTGTCTGGCTTATTTTATGGAGCATAATGTCCTTCAGGTTCACCTATGTTGTCACACATTGCAGGGATACCTTCTTCCTTAAGATTGAATAATATTTTGTTTTATATGTATATACATA